CTCCTCAACTCATCATCCCGAGTGTCGTATATCAAATTCATCTGGTCAGTGTTCTGATCGAACCCATATTGAACCATCTGAGTTTGAGGATTGCTAAGCCGACCAATCTCTGAGCCCTTGCGTTTGCCTAGAGCTACCCAGTAATCGTCGACACGCTCCTTCCTGCTTTTACTTTCAGGAAACCTAGGAATGTACCGTCCATCACCGAGCCTGATTGACCCATTCTCGACTTTCACATAGCCCATGTCAATATGTTCTTGTTTATACGGACAATCTTTCATGAAGTGCTCCAGGAGCCAACAATAAAAGCAAGACATATCTTTTTCACCACTACGGTTACTCGAGTTACGATTATTTCCGCTCCAATTATTGTTGTTGTTACTCTTCACTACTGAATTCGAATTTCCTTGATCATTATTTCCGTCAGACTTCCCTCCGTTCTGGTTATTATCCATGTGCGGTGGTGTCTGTTGAACATTCTGACTAAAGGACTTCTTCAGACTAGCATCAATCTTTTCTTCAATCTTTTTGTCGACAAGATCAAGTTTATCATTCAGATGCGCTAGAATCTGAGTGATACCCTCCATCTCTTTCTTCGTGGAAGACTCTCCTTTGGTGGATTGGTACTTACACTGCGGGCAAATGCCATGACCGTGGGTTCATGGTGTTTGATTGGCGGAGCTCGGACACTTGCCATGGCGTTGGCCAGATCTTTGCTCAGGTGTTGCACAATTTTCTTTGTCCCTTTGTCAGGGGGCGTGAATTCACATGACTTCCGCGGCTTGATGTCGGGAATCACTTCGGCAATCATCGTTGAGTTGAATTTGGAGTGTTCTCCGTTTCTCAACCTCACTCGATGCCAAAAACAGTTCCATCCTTACCATAGCCTCAGTCCAGAAAGGCTCCTCTTTGGTAGCGGGTTTTCCAAGAACTTGGAGAAGTGCCGGCATTTCTGCGGGGCACCGAGGCTGCAGCCGCGTGCCAAACAAATTCACGGCACTGCAAAGGTCGAAGAACATAAAGGCCACGACAGGGAGTTGGATATTTTTTGTGGGGTCTGCATAGCTACCTGATTCTTGTATGAGTGAAATACCTCCTACCATGTCACAGTCGAATCAACATGGAGAACATCGCTGTGGTTCGAACTTAAGCGCCGAGTTTTCCCACGCTGACAAAAGAACAAAGACAATTGTGCAACGCCCGAGCGAAGATCTGGCCAACGCCATGGCAAGTGTCCGAGCTCCGCCAATCAAACGCCATGAACCCACGGTCATGGCATTTGCCTGCAGTGTTAGATCCCGAACTACTATACTTGGAGGAAGAGCCAGTCCAATTATCAGATATGGCCTCCGCTATCCCAATTATTTCGCTCAAGGGAATCTTTGCTCCTCTCCTTTTAACCAAGGCGTCCCCCTTTTCTCCATCTCTGTCGGCATGATCTCCTTCAGCAGCTAATTGAACCGCTGAGGGTTTGAGAACTGAGCTTTCTGATCCATTCTTTCCCGCCAAGATTTTATTCTGACTAGCCATAAAGTTGACTTGCTCTGCGAATTTCTCGTCAAGAACTTCCAGATACATGTCCACTAGCTGACCATTGTCTATGGAAGCCGGGGCTTGCATTAACTTGTCCGCTTCGTTGGAGAAGGATACTGAGAATCTCCTAAGAGCTCCTAATTCAGAAGGTTCAATTCCTCGATTTTCTGAACATATCTTCTTCAACCTTCCAAGCGTCCCGACTCGAGCATCTTCGAGTTCTGGGAACAGCTCCTCTATATCTTTAACCCAAGCATCGTAAGTGCCTGTTTTATAGTGATGGAGTCGCTCCCACTGCTCTCTGGTCTCTTCGTCGGTCAAGTAATCCAACACTAAGTTTTTTCTATCTTGGTCTTCGGTAATTTTCCCTTTGTCACAAATAGTCTGAACATTTCTCAAGAAGCCCCTTAGTTTAGAAGGGGTCTTTCCATCGAATTTCGGACCATGGAGATCCCAAGGTACTGGTACACGAAAACTGGCCACCGTCGCTACGTTTACGGGTCTATCCGTCATAATATTCTGAATTGGAGATGCTGCACGGGACGGTTGAACCGAAACTGAAGCTGATCCTGGAGTTTCTTCCAGGTTGGGACTTTGTTGGATTTGGGGATTGCTCCTTTGTCCTGATGTAGATGCTACCGCGGAAACGGTCTGAAGCTCGTTATAAGCCTGACGCCTGCTTTGTGTGATATTTGCTTGGTCTGCGCGTGCACGATCCGAAGCCGAGAGTTGTTTTGCTATCTTTGTGAGAGAATGCTCTTGTAGTTGAGGTTGAAGAACAGGCTTCTTTGAACGAGTAGTTCGAGAAGGAGGTCTGCCAAATCCTGACACTGGAAGAGATCCTTGTCCAACAAAGGTAGAGTTTTCCGATTCAGGCCCGTCTGAGACCCGAGGTGGAATGGTTTTATCTGTTTATGGACAGAAGAGCCTAGTTGTACCCAATGACAAAAGCCAATGAGTAAATGTGCTAGTTGCAATTGATATTGTGATCCAGGGTTCCAATTCAGAACGCGCCTTTTTGCTGTTATTCACAACGTATAATACCCAGCAATCAATTAATCTGCTACCCTCGTGGTGGGCGCCAGATGAAAGGGTTGCACAGGAGAAGCGGATGGAATCAAGATTCGACGGTTTAGATATGAATGAAGACAAAGATACAACAAAGTTGAATCTTAATCTAATCCACAACAAACAACCTAATCCTAAACACTTTACTACTTCTACTGCTGAGTTCGTATTGTAATGAGGGGAGCAGGTAATTAAGGGGTTGCTGTCTTAGACGTGTGCAGCGCGCGTGTGTCTGAGTGAAGTAAGGCTTGGTAACCGAAGTTATAGCACCCTATTTGCAAAGTGGATTGTAAAGCGTCCAAAGCTATATGCCAAAATCCCAAACGTATCCAATCCAAGGCTATGCAACAAGCCAGTCACAATTCCAAGTCCTAAGGCTATACCACAAGCCAAATCCCAAATCAAAGGCTATACCACAAGCCAATTCACAAGCCACAGGTTCAATACAATTCACAATCAGTCAGGAGTCCAGGAGTATCGCCAGGGGCGTGCAGAGATTTATATTATAACTTGGAACGGCACTATTCTGAATAGAGTAGCCCTGAGTGACAAGTCCAGATCCGAACCGTGCGTTAAGGAGGGCCGTAACTGGGTGGCGCCTCAATAACCGGGGTGGGATTCCGTACCGTACATGCCAGTGCTCTCGCTATTTTATACTGTACACTATAACGCTTACACAGGGAGAATTACAAGATTGCGGATAAACGGAGTAGGGGTGTGACAGACGATCGGGTATACATGTGTTTAAAATGAATAGAAAAACGAGTCATATCGGTAGCCAAGCAGTTACAGTTGAAATAAGAAAGATTAATGAAACTCCTGAATGTCCATTAGTTGCCTTGGGACTTATCTCGGACTTCGTGTGGTGCTGGAAGTCGAGATTAGTCCCTGGGTTCTGAATAGGGCCGTGCCCGTGAATAAGATACTCAGAAATGGATTCTACATGTCCGTAGCTTCCACTGAGTACCCCGCACTCCTTGGTGAAGAGCTTGGAAGACCAAGTTCCTGGATTGGAACCTTAATCTCCCCGTTTTGAGAGTTGATCGCGATTTGATGCGATCATGTCCGGATAATTCCGTATCGGCCTATTCGGAACATGATCTCGGGCAAGTACTGAGCCAGTCACGTGGTCCATCGCGTATCCCATTTCGATGCAAAGAGATGTAAACAAAGGTTTCAATCAAGCGTCCAGCGTCCTCAAGACATAACCGATAAATCCCCCAGATGCCTACTAGGTACGTTATGAATAAGGGAGCTCTCTTGTACAACCTGAGCGTCTGTAAGTTGACCCAGTTTTAATTGTAACCCGTACAACAGCGCTAATTCAGTATGATCTTTCTGAATAGCCCCTGCGGGTGGACTTATTATAGTCCCCATTAAGAGTAGGCTCAAAGCATAATATCAGATATGATATTATGCTTGAGACGCGCGTTAAAAAGAACAGAAAACGCGAAAAACGCGTGAAACAGGCCTAAACCCGATACACGGCTTATCACCGTCTATCAATTCGAATCCATCCGGGAGCCAAATCCGGGACCTGGAGAGGGCAGGATCGCCGATCCGAATCTCATCCACGGTGGTGCTGATGACCCCAAAACATGTCCTTCATCCGGCCCGTGATACCATCACTCTCCCATCAGTGATACCGCCGGGCTCACTTTATACAAAGTCTTCACGGCGACTATGCACAATTTTTCACAACGACTTTATACACCTGAACCTCAGCTCAACTTTATACAATTTTGGTTTTTCAGACATTTTATACAAAGTTTCTCGGACAAAGGGTTTATACAAAGTTCGAGAACCAAAGTTGAACTACACAATCTCGACGTCGTTCAATGAACTGAGGCTTTCTCACTCAAACTGAACAAACTTGTGTTTTTCCAACTTTGTAAGTGAAATTTTGACATTTTACGATGGAAACCCAGAGTTTATAGCGATTTTATTAAAAGTGCATTCCGACCGCCAGAACTCTGGGGTTCATAGTGACTTACATAAGTGACAACCCGGGCCGAAACCTTGCGGGACTCGCGATTCGGGCTTGAGGCCGGGGGTGGATAAATCAGAGGTGCACATCACACCGGAGACGATTTCTATTACATCTGCTTGTTCCTGACCTTGCCGGATATTTTTTTCCCTCTTCTCCGACTCGGTGGCGTGATCGTTCTAAAGTTGCAAAATAATCCGAGAACAGAGTATAGTTGATATTGGCTCGCTGGTGGATCGCCCACGCTCGCAGATACTAGTGGCAAGTGTTCGAGATATTTCATGAAAGAGACACCCGTTCGAATCGGGACCGAGTCCTCCTGGGTTGGCTCTGATTTTTTGCCCCTTCTGATTTAACCACAAGATTCCTTCAAGGTTGCTGATGAATTCAACGATAAAGTAGACTGGATACTGGCTCGGTAGTGGACGGTCCACGCTCACATCTGGTAACCAACGGTGGACAGTGCAGTGAGAGACGCCTGTTCGAGTCGGGTTCGAGCCATACTGTGCAAATGTAAAGGGTCGATGTTTTTTTGCGCTCCTTTACAGCCGATCCTGAAAGTAATGAGAATCGATTTATTTTTTTGCGCACGTTCTGGATTTGGCAATCCTTTTCCGGGAGGTCGCGAGTTCGATTCCTACAGCTAACACTTTCTTGGCTAAATGGATTCAACCTCAGTATTGGTTGTTTAGGGGCTCCATGAGTTCTAATCCTATTCAAAACAACCAAAGTATATATTCGGGGCATTTAGATGAGTCTGAATGCGTCAAAAAATCTTTTGGTCTGCTGCGCGGCCACTGATTGATTGGTTTCGGAATTGAGCATCAGCTGCATAATTTTTCCCTAAGGAGGAAGGGAGAAATTGGTTTACATTGTCTTTTTACTCCCTATGGTAGTGACTGACGCAGCGTAGGGTGAAGAAACCACTGGTTTTGTCTCAACTTGACCGACACAGCTGTACTGGTACATAGACTAAAAAACAGTTTCCGTGCATGTTGAGGGTTCTAGAAAGGACCAGAAAAATAGTTGCTTCAGTATCTGCTGTGTTGCATGCCTGTTACCAATGTAGATGCGAAGAAACCCACCAAAATGTTTATAGCGAGCCGACAGGATCGAACGCGTGACCTCCCGAAAAGGGATTGCCGATTTCCGAACTTGCGCAAAAAAAAATTAATGGATTCTCATTACTTTCAGGATCGGCTGTAAATGTTGGATGTGAATTAGCCGGCTTTTTTCCAGACACTTGAATTAATCGGACCATACCACGGACAAGATGTACGCGGCTTGCCCCCCGCTTGTGGGCTAACTAAGTCTGACACGTCGCTCCAAAGTAGTAAACGAGTTGTCGAGCAGAATATACTAGATACCAGCTCGGTGGTGGCTGGCCCACATTGAAATGTGTTGCCAGTCATGCGAGGGATGCCCGTTCGATTCGGGTCCGAGCCATGGATCCTCATGCCGTTCATTTCTTTTGCCTTCTTCTCAAATGTAAAATTGAAAACCGGTGGCCGTCAATAATCTCAACCACCCCGTCGACTTGATGCATGCCGAACAGCTGTGTGCCTCCTGTCTGGTTCTGGAAAATTGTAGATAAATTACAGGACAAAGGATAATATCTATCGGCTTGGTGGATAGTCCACGCTCACATCTGTTGAACCTTTCGGCATCAGCCGAGTATGCATATGTACCCAAGTCCCAGCCATGTATATATCTTGTCCGGTTTTTTTCTCCGGTGATCCAACAAACTCTGGACGGGTGCAGATGAATTCTGGGACAGATTCAGAACGGAGTAGATATCGGCTCGGTGGTGGATGGTCCACACTCACTCCTACATGTCTAATCACTGTACAGGATCTTGCGAGAACACCCGTTCAACTCGGGTCTGGGCCATTGGGGATAGTGTCGTACACATTCTTTCTTTTGCCCTTGTTTTGAATGTGAATTAGTCTGGGATCTGAAAGCCCGTGCTCTGCTGAACGCTGTGATAAATTGAACCACAACTTTCATGATTTGAACCATACCGCCAACTTGATGAAACGGAACATTTTTCCCCCCACTTGTGGTGCAGCCAAGGGCCAAAATGCTAACCCTTACCTGAAGGTACATAGTAAGTGGTCCCCTCTCGCATCTCCTGGATCGTTGGCGAGGGTCAATCACACAAGAGCCGGGTTCCAGTCATTGTCAATCTGAGCTTCAAGGATAGTCTGGACTGAATATGGATTCGGTGGTGAGAGACCCCGAATGTTTGGGCAAGTAGATCTTTTCTTCAACGGGGAGTTGAACCTTGACACGATGCCGCCGCGGCAATCATTTCTGATGATTCGGTGGTGAGAGACCCCGAATGTTTGGGCAAGTAGATCTTTTCTTCGACGGGGAGTTGAACCTTGACACGATGCCGCCGCGGCAATCATTTCTGATGCGAGCTTGTCACGTGCACTTTCTTTTCGTGTCCACCACCACCGACGACTTTTTCTCGCCGCACAACATGCACCGTTGTTTGCAAATCGCAGAGATCGTCGACATGGTATGCTCTCACTTGGATCCACGCTCCCCTGGGTTTCGGCCTATCAGCCTCCCGTTTCGTGACCTCGCCGTCGTTGCGAGAACGTGTACGATTTTCCGCGACCCCGCCCTGGATTACTTGTGGTGCCATGCGGCACTGGGAAGACTTCTTACGCAGTGCATGCCAAAGGACTTGTGGAATGTAGACATCACTGAGATACGCGTCTTCAGCAAGGTCCGCAAAGTGGTGAGCGATGCTTAGATGCCAAGCTGAAATAAAGTGCTGAATCAATCATTCAGCGACTGCTCCGGCCCATTCGTACCGCTGACTGGGATAGGCTACATGTATACGCGCCCCGCGTCAAACGTCTCTCTTCCGGCGCGGACTTTCCCATGTCAGAAGCTTTCGACTTGTCAGCAGTCTTCCAAGCCCTGAGCGTATCCTTACCGCACGCGCTGTTCCAAAACCTCCAGAGTCTTGACTGGCAACACTCGGACGACGAATTTCATCATATCCAACTTTTCCTTCATCCGCGCCTCACAAAACTATCGCTTGTTCTATCTTCCGACTCTGCCTCGTCGCTCCTGTCGACCTTGACGTCGAAATGCCCCAAATTGATCGATGTTACCATCCATACTAGTTCCAGTTATGACAGGGAAGACCCCGACCCTGGGCCTGTCTCAGACTTTCTCTGCGGGCTTCGGAACCCGGAGAAAATCTCCGTCCCTTGCGTCGGCCAGGACGCTTTGGAGCATCTATCCCGTCTGTCCACTCTCAAGTCGTTGGTTTTAACAGGGCCAGCCTATGTACCCGTATCGTCGGGAACGCGTGGACGACCCACATTTCCTGGACTTCGCAACTTATCGTTTCAAGGCCCAGGAATCGGGTCGACTACTCAATTCCTGAAACTATTCAGCGCCGTCCCACTCTGCAGATCCGATATGACCTTCTACGAAGTCATCACGGCGGATGAAATACACGCTTTGTTCGCCGGTATGGTAGCCGGGGTATCACACTCCTCCCTCACGGCCCTGATCGTGCATCGTGAGTGGGACATTGACTCTGACCCAGCCAGTTGCATTGTTGAGCGCCGCTCGATACGTCTTTTGCTGTGCTTCCCCAACCTCACGGTTCTGTCCATCACATCGGTCCACGGATTCGACTTGGATGACGCCACTGCGGCGGAAATGGCGCGCGCTTGGCCGCGAGCCACGACGCTGCACTTCAAAAGTAACCACCATATCCGCATGCCTCGCACCACAGCTGCATGTCTCCATTCCTTTGCCGAGTACTGTCCGCACCTTCGGCAGCTCACCCTTGCATTTGACGGCACCACCGTTCCGGGTCCCGACACCGCACGGCCCCGTATTGTTCAACACAGTCTGCGGGCCCTCGCCGTCGAACACTCTCCTGTAACGAAGCCCATCTCCGTGGCCCGTTTTCTCTCCGGCCTGTTCCCAAGCCTAGACGATATCGAGACGCATCGCGAGCACGATGATAACGACGAGGATGACGTGGACGAGATGTTGGAGAACGGCGATGCCATTAGGAACCACAACCGGTGGATGGAGGTATTGACTCTCCTCCCCGAGGTTTCAGCTATCCGCGAAGAGGGGCGCGCATGGGCAATGGGCCTGTGACTTGTAAGCAGCACTCTACCAGGCCATCTTTTCTTACTGATTTTTTTCCATGAAGACCCGATTGCCTTGCATTCGGTGCCCAGCATCTTAGTTACTCGGAAATCAAAACGCTCGATGTCTCTTCGTGTATGACCAGAAATCGTATCCGACTATGGAATAACCGATACATTTATGCAATCTCGAAACCATTTCTCAGTCGATCCTCGCGCAGTTCAATTAACTTCCGAAGTTAATTGAACTGCGCGAGAGTCAAGAAGAGGGTATAATTATATTTGACCAGGAGCGTCCGTTCTGTGCTACAGAACAATTCACGGTCTAATGAACTAACCAAACGGTAGAGTACAAGAGCAGGGTAGACGCGGCAAGACGGCAGATATGTTTTTTTTTGGTGTTTTGTGTATGTGTTTTTCTTCCAATGCCAAGTGAAACGGAATCATACTTACGGTCAAAACTTTCAGCGCCGGCGTGAATGCTGCGAAGGTCTCGGATGTCGAGGGGGAGTAGTCGGGGATGGAGGCGCTGGCGTCTACCCGTAAAGGTAGAAGAACTGAGCGTTGCCAGGCTGTCCAACACCAGCCTGGAGCGTGATAACCCGGACGGGGCCAACCATGGTCGCGGCCATGTCATTGCCGTACATGCCATAGATGACGCTCCACAGGTCCTCCTCCTCGGTCCGCGTCTCCTCCACGAGCACATCCTCGCGCGAACACGCCACGAAGTGGCCGTAGTACTTCTTGGGAGGCGGACCGGGGAGCGTGCGGACGATGAGGACAGGGTGGTTGCCTGGTATCTGCCATGGCAGCGGGGTCACAGGCGGGGCTATAGGCGGGGTCATAGGCGGGGTGGCTTCCCTTGACGGCGGGAGCGCGACGACCCGTCGTGCGATGCTCGGTGCGTCGAGTTTCTTCTTCCAAGGGCATCAGAGCAGCTCGGCGCGCAGGGACAAGAGTACTTACTGTGGGTTTAGTGGTGGCATTGCCACCGGCTCTCTTCATGCGTCGGCGCGCCTCGCGGTGCGATACTGGCTTGCCGGTGGCAAGCCCGTCCAAAGAGCCATCGATCATTCTGTTGGTAGCCTGAAAAGCGAAGGTTAGTACGAGTGGCTCAAATCACTGACGTCGCCGAATGGACCCCCACCGCGAACGTTGAGGGCGGACAACGTCTGCTTTCTGGTGTTCCTTGGGATGGCGGACATTTGACTGGATAATATATGGGTAGGGCGAATGTGGAGATTGGTAGCGGTGGTGGTGGTGGTGGAGAGCAAGATGCAATTGGCGCTGATCAGGTAATTTCCTTTTATACCCGGCCACCAGGCGCTTTCTTTGTTTCGACAATGGACAAACAAACGCAATCAGACG